AAGGGATGCACTCTGTCTCTGAACACATGGGGAGGGACCCAGGCCCAGCACAGGAAGATTTGGTGGACTTGGTGGAGCCCCAGTTGGGGGCCCTATCCAGCCTGGGGAGTGGTGGGTGGATGGGGGGGGGGGGAGGTTGGAGGGGGGGGAGAAGGAATGGGGGTGAGGGGAGGGAGAGGGAGAGGGGAATTACATGTGAAACAAGCCTGTTCCCTAACTTGAATTAATAATAATAATAATAATAATAATAAGAGAAAAAAAAAGAAATTTCAGATCCTCTAAAGCCATTTGCATGAAAATATTTAAGAGCTTGCAGACTGGATAGTCCTCAAAATAAATCTGTCTGTATTGAAATATACATATGTACTATAATATACATATACTGAAACATTACATGTATAGAAATATTACATGGTATCCTATAAATATGTCCAATTATTATGTTAAAAAAATGTTTACAACAGTTTCAAGAAGGCATGTATACATGTATGTGTGAGTTGTGTTCATGTGTTTCACCACAGAAATTCTTTAAAATTAAGTTGTTGAATTTAATTAGACACTAATATAATGTGCAATTTGTAGAACAATCAATTTAATTATTAATTCATCCATCTGCACACATTTATTATTCATAATCTTTTTTTGGTAAGTATCAGTTACTTACCAAAAATTAGACTACACGACTTTTGTCTAATTTTTATTTTTTTCTATACATCATATATAAACTTTATTATACACATCTATCACTTAAGCAAATGGCTTATAAAGATCTTCCAAAGCTAGTTCCTTCCCAAATCAAGAAAAGAAATTAAGTACTCATGATTTCTTTTATTGTTTGTGCTTTATTTGATCATATTTGAGTAGATGGAAGGCCCAGGCACATGTGACCCTCACTTGTGCCCACCTCTTCATCTGCCCAAGAAGACAGCTAGAAGAAACTAGAAAGGAACAATGCTTTTCCAAGCTTGGCTTCCAGGGACTAGGGGACTTGGGCTTTCCTTAGTGCTGTTGGAACTTTAGCTCAGAGCAGCATCATTTTGAGTCCTGTTGGAGGATGAGCCACAGATGAAGCCTTGAAGTCCAGTGGGAACTATGGGCTATCCAGCTGGTGAGGCCCAAATGCAGAGAACAGGAGGTCTGATGGTGTCTGGGTCTCCAGTTCTTCAGGAGGTGCTAGGTAAGACTGCTGTATAGAAAGAATGAGAAGAAGTCAGGATGCAGAGGCCCAGCAAAGGATGTGCAGACATATTCGCCGAATTTCCTAAGAAGATGTGTGATGCAGAACGAGGAAAAAGCCAGCGTGAACCACAGTAGCCATCCTACATCCTGTCCCAGCATCCCAAATCAGCCCCTGGGGTTTCTTCCTAACCATGGACTTTCCCTAAATATCCTCATGAATGTGTGAAATCCTGATTTTTATCTTGACTCAGTGAAGACATTGGACTAGAGGTCACACTTTTCTGACAAAGCGAATGAGCCATAGAGCAGTTGGTTACTGCTAGTCTGGTACTTGGGGGAGGCTGGCCTCTAGTACTCAGTGGGCCGAAGCTGGGACAACAGTGTTCCTGGCTCCTTCTCTAGTCACAGGCTCTATGGACATTTGCAGCAGTCCTCAGACTTCATTTGCTCTGACGCTCTGGAATCTTTGCCTTTTATGGCCTGATTCCTGGACCTGACTTTCTGGGCCACCAATGTCCTTCCAACACAACCCACCAGCCTGTCTTCCACCATTAGAATCCAGGGCTTCATTCCAGTGAATAGAGCTGCCAAGGAAAGAGCTCAGAAGAGCTGAAGAGACTTCACAGTAATGTAATCAGTGTCACTCTGACTAAAACCACCCAAACTCATAACCATAAAAATACTAGTGTTTTGTCTTTTAAGATGGCCAGTAAGGGCAAATAACACGAGCATACAGGGCAGTCATTTTTATAGCTCAGGGCCAACGCAATGTTATCTGAGTGTGATACCCTTAGTGCATTCTACTGTAGAATAGGTACAGGAAAGAAAGCAGAAGATGGTAGCCTAAGGAAGGGGCTCAGCCCCATGTCAGCTCCATCATCACCCACCTTCACACACAGCTCCAGCATCTTCATCATGTCCACAATCAAAGGTCTCCACCTGGTCACATTCAGCCAGGCTCTTTTCTGTCCCGTTGCACAGGGCTACCTGAATGAGCACCGGCAAAGCTTCATCAACTGCTGGTGGATACAACATGGCTATAGGTGTGTGGACGGCCGCTCCGCAGCCCAGCTCTCGGCACACAACAGCCACATCCTTCATGTCCCAACCATCATCGCATACAGTGCCCCAGCGGCCTTCCTGTTCCACCTCTACACGTCCTTCACAGGCATGGGGACCATTCACCAGACGCACTTTGGGTGGGGGTTCTGCAAACAGAGTGGGTGACGTTGCATTAAAGAAATACATACTTGTAAGCAGCAAGTATCTACAGCAGTGGGGGAGTGAGACAGAGGTACAGTTGTAAGACCCCCGGAAAGCCCAGGCCTCCAGGATCTCAGCCCAGGACCTCGGCCACCCCAATCACCATTGGGAGTCGAAAGCTTGATGCAAACTGCACGAGGCTTTATTGTTGTTTAACGAGCTAACCCCATGTTACCTTGGGCCTTTCATCTACCCGCTGTGGAGGATGGTTAGGTAAGATAGCTCAAAGCCTCTGCATAGAGATCTTGTAGGGCAGCGTAAGGGGAGTGTCTAGGGGTGCGCACAGGCTCAGGATTGGTGTGCCTCCGGGCTTGGAGGGCTTGCCCTGTGTTGATTAGCCAACTAGTTGTTATGGCCCATAGGCCCTCCCAGGGTGGTTGCTATGTTCTGCGAGTCATTGCTGTGCACTCATCCGTAAAGCACACCCAGAGCTGTAAAGCATAGCACCACCAGCTAACTTCTGATTGGTTCCTTGCCACGAGGCAGGCATCTAACCTCTTAGTGACTAAGGCAAGGTCAGACAAGCATGTGTTCGGCTGTTATGGCTGTCGAAATGGGGAGCTGGTCCCTTCACAGTTATAGCTAATGTTAATTATTGGTTGACAGTATCTGGAATCACAAAGAGAAACTTCTTCAGGCACCATCAATCAGAAATTATCTAGATTACATTGGCTGGTGGCCATGCTTGTGGGACACTATTGATTAGGTTAATTTAACTACAAAGACTTGTCCACTGTAGGTTCTGGTATTCCCCAACCCTGACTGTATAATAAGGAGAAAGTTGGCTGTGCCCAAGCGTCGGCTCTGGTGACTGTAGATGGTATAGGACCAGATGCTTGAAGCACCTCCTGCCTCAACTTCTTTTTTTCTCTCTATTTTTATTTAAATTAGAAAAAAACATTATTTTACATGCCAATCCCAGTTCTCTCTGCCTCCCCTCCTTCCTTGCTCCCCCCCAACGAACACCCTACCTATCCCATACCCTTTCTGCTCCCCAGGGAGGGTGAGGCCTTCCATAGGGGGTCTTCAGAGTCTGTCATATCCTTTGGGATAAGGCCTAGGCCCACCCCCTTGTGTCTACTCCCTCAACTTCTCTACCATGACCTTTGAATTGTCCAAGGGAAACACTTTTCCTTCAAGTCACTTTTGTCAGGTGTTTTTGTCATGGCAATAGGAAAGGAAACTAAAACGTGTAAGGAGTTGTTAAAGGTGGACTCTTGGAGCCTGGCTTTGCCTTGCTGCACTTTCGTCTTTACCACCACCTCACATCACCAATGTCCCCATTAAGTGGGTCTAGAAAAGAATTTTTGCTTACATTGTGAAACACAGAGATTCGGGGTTTGTTTTCCATAAGCTCAAAAAAAAACCTTAATGGCACAGAAGGATATAATTAAATCTTCCCTAATGATAGAGACTGAGATGCAGAATGGAGAAAGGCCTATTTTGTTTGTTTTGTTGCTTTTTAATAATGCTCCATACTTCCTTAATGACTTTGCCAATCAAAGGCCCATTTTTCTATGTGGAGGGTAGACTGGGCATATTCACACAGCCTGTTAATCTCTGAATTCTGCTTACTTTGTTATTTTACTTAGTTTGTGGAGATGGGTGTCCTGTGTTTACCAGACTGATCTTGAACTTCAAGCAATCCTCTTGCCTTTGCTATGTGTTACTGTCATGCCCAGGCTCCTTAAAAAATGGTGTCTTTAGGAATTAGAAAGGGACCCCCCCCCCTGTCTGTCTCTCTGGTCTTCTTATGAAGCCTATTATTGCCTTGAACTCTCACAGTGATCTTCCTGCCTCAGCCTCACACAAATGTTGGGATTACAGCCATGCATCATTACAGTCTTTGGATACAGGATCTTTTACATGGTCCAGAAGGGCCTTAAACTCAGGATCATTCTCCTTTTCCGGAGATCTCTAAGATAAAATATAGGTATAAGCTTAACATTGTCAGTGACCAACTCTGCTTGTCTGTGAAAAAAAAAAGCTGGTGGAGGAATGAAGAGGAGAGAGCTCATGGATCCCAAGCCACAGAAAATTACATCAACTACTGATTTCCTGTTAGCATCACTTTGGGGAGGAGGCAGGTCAACTCAGAGGGATTCTCTATCATTTGCAGCCAGCATACCTTGTCTTACAACCACTCAGATCTCAGCAAGGTACATGAAAAAGGCAGATGCAATATAGGTAATAACAAGGCAGTCAGAGCATATAGGCAATATAGGCAATAACAAGACTGTTCTTCTAAGCGAGACATCACCTTCCATCCCAGCACTTGGGAGGCAGAGCAGGAAGATCTCTGTGAGTCTGAGTTCAGCCTAGTTTACATAGTGAGTCCCAGGCCAGTCAGGGCTGAATAGTGAGGGACTATCTAAAAGAAAAAAATAACATTCTCAAAACTGGATAGAGTAATGAGACCAAACTCATATAAAATTATAGAGACCAAAGTATAAGACTAAATGAAGAAAGTAGCTTAAATTAAAGAAAAAAAATGTAGACCTCAAATACTCCCCAAATACAAACAAAAATGACATTTTTGTTTGTTTGTTTCACAGAGAAAATATGCATAAGCTGACAGCATGTAAGACCATCAACCAAGTTTCAGTGATTTCTCTGAGGTAAAAATTCTATTGTAAGACCCCCGGAAGCTCAGGCCTCCAGGATCTCAGGCCAGGACCACAGTCACCCCAATCACCAGGAAGAGTCGAAAGTTTGATGCAAACAGCATGAGGCTTTATTATAGTTGTTTAACGAAGTAACCCCATGTTAGCTCGGGTCTTTCATCCACCCACCATGGTGCATGTCTAGGAAAGACAGCTCAAAGTGTCTGCATAGAGATCTTATAGGGCAGCATAAGGGGAGTGTCTAGGGGTATGCACAGGCTCAGGATTGGTGTGCCTCCAGGCTTGGAGGGCTTGCCCTGTGTTGATTGGTCAACTGGTTGTTATGACCCATAGGCCCTCCCAGGGTGGTTGCTATGCTCTGTGCGTCATTGCTTTGCACTTATCCGTAAAGCACACCCAGAGCTGTAAAGCATAGCACCACCTGCTAACTTCTGATTGGTTCCTTGCCACGAGGCAGGCACCTAACCTCCTAGCGACCAAGGCAAGGCCATGGCAAGCACGTGTTACTGTCATGGCTGCCGAAATGGGGAGCTGGTCCCTTCACTATAAGCCATATTTTAATAAATGCTAAATACAAGAACAAAGGAATATCTAAGAAATACATAATAAAGGATGGATTGATATAAAATTTATTTAAAATTATAAAGAAGGTCTTTTTATAAAATAACACATATTACACATGTTGTAGAGAATAAGTGTTGGGGACCAAAATATTTCCATTATGGAATGTCTTAAGGTCCAGCCTCCAGTTTCACTAAACAAGAGTACCAGGGAGCTCTGGCCCACTATTGTATTGCTAATTCAAGCAAGTCTGCTATTGTATAGCATAGCCTCAGTGTAGAATGCCTCCTAGTTTGCATCTCTACAGGACTAAGCATCTGAATAGGCCTGCACCTAGGCAGGAGGTTAGGTGTGTAAGTAACAAGGAGGACAGAGAGTTAGGAGCCAGGGAGCAGAGAGGGGTCAGGAGGAGAGAGATGGCCTCCTCATAGCCATGGAAGCATGGTTAAGAAACAGCCAAGAAGATGCTAAATAAACAAGAGACTCTAGTTTTACAACATGGAACTGAGAGCTCTCTAAAGATGACAAGATGCCTGTGTTTGCTCTTTATCACCGTTGGGTTGCTAGTGTAAGACCCCCAGAAGCTCAGGCCTCCAGAATCTTTTCCCAGGACTTCGGCCACCCCACTCACCATGAGGAGGCAGAAACTTGATGCAAACAGCAAGAGGCTTTAATGAAAGGTGGGCGTTTGTACAAACGGGCTCTCTCAGCATGCAGGCTAGAGAGCAGCCCGTCCCCCAGGCACAGGTGTTTTTAAAGGCAAAAACCACAAGCTTAGGGAGGGGCGTGACCAGAGTCATGGGTTCCTAGGAGGCCCTTTGTCTTGAGGAGGGGGCTGGGAATCATATGGCCTCCTGACCCACCAGTTGTAAAACCTGCAGACCTCAGGCTATGCTTATCTTGCTTGAGCAAATGGTAGCTATCTCTTTGTTTCATAGGGACCCTTAATTGTTAATTATTGACACATTGGCCAGTGGGGCAATCTGTTTCCTCCATGAGCCCCTCAGGGAGGGTGGCTATCTGGGAATTCTTGGTACCCAGTTATCTTATGGCCTTGTAAGCTGGTAGATTCCAGGCCCTAAGTCATAGTAGTGCCCTTAGCTTCTGGGTTAGGCTGCACTACATTCAGTTTGGAGAGTTTCCTTATCTGGGCTATATTTCTTTGCTAATTTTTAAGTCTTTCATTAGGAGTTTTCAAGTCTACGCTCCCCCACTCAGGCCGAACCTCATGGCTGCCGTGGCTTGGTGCTGAGACATGCTGGGCCTCGACAAATAAGCAAATGAAGACAACTTATATTAAAAAATTTTAAATGAGATAAAAGTGGTACTTGGAGGAAAACATAGTTTTAAATGCATTTGTTAAAAAACAAAAAAATGAAAAAGAAGTAAATGAATCAGAAAAATACTTTGGAATAATAAAATGATATTGACTTGAAAAGTAAAAAGTATAGAGGAAACCTGAATTTATTTAAAAAAAGAACAATACAGAAAGACCTCTGGTAAGAGGTCTTTTCTCTGGTGAGAAAAGGGGCCATCCAGGCACAAGGAGGAAAGAACACAGTCACACACTAGAAACTAAACACCAGACATAGTACTCACGAGTCTATGATGAATTTGAAAGTCTAGACTTTCCTATTTTGCTCACCTTTGGGGGACAAAGAACATCAAGTGTGTGGCATATGGTGTATGCAGTGTGTGTGCACAGGAGGAAGCCAGAGGAGCATGCCTAGTTGCTTCCACTAAAGCTCCCTGCTTCCTTCTCTGGAGACAGGGTCTTCTACAGGACCCCCACCTTGGCATTTTTTCAGCTTGTCGGGTACTCAGCAAACCCCTATGACCGTCCTGTCTCCATTCCCTGAAACAGCCACGCCAGGTGAGCAGCGAGGACCCAAACACAGGTGTGCTCAGACATGTTCAATGAGGAATCTTACTAACTTCCCAGCCCTGTAACAATAGCACTATAATAAGTGTTTTAAAATGATAAAAAAAAAAACTTGAAAAGGCTAATTAATGAAAAAGATTTGACAGTAGAGGTAACAGTCTAGTGGGCTCAGAATCTTTGACTAGTTGCAAAGACTTCAAATTGTAGATCATTTAAATGTCGATATAAATTCCTGGACACCGAATTTGTGAAGCTAAGAAAACCAAAAATCTCATGTATTAATAGGACGCAAGGGGGCAAAGTGTATGCTTAGCATTCTTGAAGTTCTGCATTTGATACCAAGCACTAAAGAAATAAAATAAATAACGGATGCAACATTTGAAATAAAATATTAGCTAGTTATATAAAGCTACTGCCTGTGATGACTAAGAAGGGCTTATTAGGGAAACTCAGTAATGTTCCATATTAGGAAACTCATTAATTCTCTCCAATAATGGATTAAAGAAAAAGAAGGAAAAAGGTCACACAACCATCCAGTCCTATTCACACAGTGACAACGCCTTACAAAGCTTCTCAGTTCTGGCTTCGGTTTCATCTTTGTACCTGCTCATGGCACTCCTTTTAAGCAACCTTGGGCAAACTGCATTACTTAAATTTTATCTCTTTGTTTGTGTAATAATTATGCTGCTATGAAAATTACATGATACAATCTTAGTTAAAAAATTTAAATCCAGGAATCTGTTTTGTTTGTGGGTTTTTACTTTTGTTCTTAACTACAAAGGCTGGAGGGAGCTCCATAGTCACTCTGAATGAGCCCCACTGAGCTCGAGGATGCAAGAGCACCACCCCCCCTTTTTCGTGTGGACATCTGCGTTCTCTCTCCATGTTTCACCTAGCCCGCCCCTTACACTGACCTGATTCCCGATTTTGCACACACGTGATTCAGTGAAAAGCAGACAGGAAGGAAAAGCATTGGGCAGAGCTGCTGTTGTTAGGACTGAAAAGTATGGTTGGAAGTAGAGAAGGGTCCCCAATGGAGCTCCAATGCCCCAAGGGATGGGAGAGTACAAGGAAAAGGAAGAAAGCCATGGCTTGGTATAATGCAAGTTGCACTCTAGAATGAGACATTAAATTATCCTACCTGTGACGTTGAGTGGTACCACTTGACTGCGCTTCATCCCCCAGCCATTGTCAGCCTCACAGGAGTAGTTCCCAGAATGCCCTGCAGTCAGAGTGAGCTTAAAGGATGCTTTTCCTCCAGATGGTGCTGAGGTGTTGCCCAGAGTGATATTTTCATGATAAAACCAGTACAGAATGGGAGGAGAAGCTCTCTTGTCTTCACACTGAAGCTCTGCCACATCCCCAATGAAGGGCAGCACCCCAGGAACACTGATGGAGAGGAGAGGGCTCAGCACTGGAACTGACAGAGCACAGTAGAGTGTCAGCGAAAAGGTGTGACTCACAGCCTGCCTGGCTTCACTCAAGCCCCTTGTGTTCTTTCCCAATGTCTCACTGCTTGGTCTAACCCTCCAGGGAAGGATCCAGCAGAACTGCTATGCACTGATGAAGAATTCTGGAGAGCAAGCTTCTGATTATACCACACAATCTGCCTCGTGTTCCATGTCTGTGCTCTCTTTCAGCTCCTCTGACACCGCTACCACTTTTAACTTCACCAGAAAAACAAATGCCCTTCCCAGCCACTTCATGCCTTCCTTGTACCTTGTCACACTTTCGAACATCCCCAGCTGGGAGTTGCTGGCTCCCGATTGGGAATGCGGCTTACCTTTCACTGTGACATTCACTACCTCACTCTGGACAAGGCCGTAGCTGTTGTCAGCAGTGCAGTAGTAACCCCCGGCGTGACTTTCGCTGACAGGAGCGATCTCCAGCTCGGCTCTCTGGGAACGCTGGCTTTTCTTCCCCACACTTTCCTCTGTGTCCTCTCTGTGCCAGGAGTACGTGATGAGCCCAGTGCCGTTAGCCACAGAACAGACAAGGAGCAGCGTCTGCCCCTCAACTCCCCAGCCCCCTGGAGACTGGATCTCCATGGAGACTTGAGACACAGGGATCCCTGTGAACAGAAGACAATTGTTAAAGACTGGGTGGGGAAATTCAGTACCGGAGGAATCCGGTATAACCTGCTGGTAATTATGGCTGGTCGATACAAGGAATTAAGAGTCCACCCTGGTTTCCTGGGAATGGAACATATTGAAGAGCTCTGTACAGGACCACTCTGCAATCTGATGCTCAATAACAATCCTGTTCTGCCCTTCCTGCTCTTTTCCCTCTCGTGTGACCACATCCCACAGCGTTCTGCCCAGTCTTGACTTCCTTGTGAACTTGAGGCAGCAGGAAAGAGGCTGCGGTCTCATAAACAAGGAAGTTTTCCAACCTGAGTAACAACCGAGTTCTGCCATTTAATAGCTGCAGTCTCTATTTCTGCTCCTCAGTTGTTCTCCATAGCATTTGAATAACCATAGTAACCTCACGGAGTTCTCAGGAGATTGGCTGAGATGCATCCATCAAGCAGTCTCTCTCACGCCAGCACCATTCACCAGCGCCAATTAGTGATGCTGCCAGCCTCTGGCTGGATAGAGAGTGCTGCACAGCACTTAAAAGTACATGCAATGGGGCCAGAGCAACCACATTTAAATCCCGGGTCTGTATGCTGGGTTCCCTTAGACAAGTCTCTGGACAACTCTTTGCTTTGGGTTTCTTCGTCTGTAAAGTAGGGAGAGTCACAGTACCCATTTTACAGGCACTACTCATAAAGGTATCTCACAGGCCACTATGAGGACAAAATGTTTAACTGCTCCGAACAGCATCCTGCATGTAGTAAATCTTCCTGTCTTCTGCAGCTATTTGTGAAAGCCAGAGAGTCTAGAACAACACAATAGCTTTAGCTGGGATCTGGAACATAGTAATTAGTTTTTCAAGTGATAGGCTGTTACTGTCATTTCAAATACTATTATTTGTGCCTTCTTTGCACCATCTCCTAACTGGGGGTCTCCTCTCATAGACAGAGGCTATTCCTTCATTGACCTCTTAGTTTGCTGAATAAAGTTACTATTGCTGCTTTTCTGAAGGGGAGGACAAAGTCATCGGAAAATTAGTGTTCAAGAGCCCCAGTGAGCCATGGTACCTTCCACCCTCTGGGATAAGGAGGAGCCTGCAGTCTGGCTGGTGCCCCTGCTCTCCCTGCCTGACTTAGCCCCTCAGCCCAGCCCAATGATGCTCACTCTCCACATCTATATAGGACCGGTAACTCCGCTTCAAGACACTGCGAGATGCTGTCATCGCCTCACACCAGTAATTTCCAGAGTCTTCTTTCCGTATTGCCGATATCGTAAACTTTGCTGAGCTCCAACCTGACTGCAAAGTGTTGCCATCTTTGAAGAAGGAATACTGTAACTGGGTCGTTGCCCTATCTAAAGGGAGCCAGGTGTTGCAGGACAGGGTCACTGAACTCCCCTCTATGGGCTGCAGTGAGCTGGCTGTCATCCCAGGGGCTGGAAAAAGCTCTGGAGGGAAGAGTGAATAGGAAGAGACGACACGACTTGTTAGTAGTGGACTACATGGTCCTCTAGAAGTGACTGATGAGCAAGACACACATATCCATATCCCAGGACAGACAGCCCACCACCATTTACCATCCCTGGTTAGTGTCATATGCCCTGTTCCCTGGCTTTCCTACACAGGCACTCTCCTTCTTAGACACATCCACTCAAGGAATGATCTCCTACCTTGGACACTAAGTCGTGCATCTCTTGATTTTTCTGTTGTGTCTATAAATAGGAAAAGTTTCCTATCTGCCTTACAGGAATAGTAGCCACTGTCACTGAATCTTGCATTCCCAATGGTATAGCTCAAAGCACTGCTATAAGTAGCTATGTGAGATCCATCCTTGAAGTACTTTAGCCTCTTTATGTCATAATTCTTTTCCCCCGTGCAGCTTATGGATACATGGTCTCCTTCATAGGCATGGCGTGGCACGCTGATGCTCAACCAGTCTGCAAAAGAAGCAAGGAGGCAGAGAGTAACAACACTGACCCTGCCTGGGAAAGGAGGGGTCTACATGTGTCTAGAAGATGGGGACCCACAGTGCCTGGGAACCTGCTGGCTCTGCTAACTTTCTGGCTCAGCACAGTGAGCTCTACTTCATTAAGTGATGTTTCTTCTAAACATGCATTTTGGATGTATGTTAATGGATTTTTATGCTGTTTTCATCAGCTCCCAACAGCTGGACTAAATATGGGTTTAAAATGAGTCTACTAGCTAAGTGAGATGGTGCAGGTCTGGAATTAATGCTATTCATGAAGTTGAGGCAGGTAGGTCACAGATTCAAAGCTACAGATTAAGTTTAGGGTGAGCTTGGGTGATTTAGTAAGACTCTGCTTGCAATAAACAATAAAAGGGGTTGGGTATAAATAGCTTCATGGTGGAGTCCCTTGTCTCCATGGACCAGACTCTGGACTCAAGCCTCAGCATTCCTTTTTACCCCGACTAGAAGATTCCAATTGTATCTCCTTACACCTATTGACATGGCCTCAGGTCCCCCATGGCAGCTATCATTAACTCCCTCTGCTTGTCTCATATTTGGAAACACTGTTTAGTAGCACGATAAACTCAAAGTCCTTCCTTTGCATGTCCTTGTCCCTAGATGAAACTCACAGGGCACTGAGACCCAAGCTCCAGAATCTCCAAGTCTCTGGAGTCTACTAAAAACTCGTTCATTGCCATGCTTGGCCCTGTAGGATCCCCATAAAGAAGAAGTGGAGCCGTTGCTTCCCCCATAGAACAGTGGTCATCAGGATTGATGGATAGCTTGGTGTTTTGGATCTGCCCGCAGCAGGAGAAGAAAACACAAATGATTAGGCCCTGCTCTGAACACTGGCTCCACATCACAAGACACAGTCCTACATGGTGAGACCTGAAGATATTTAACTGTAAATATTTTAGGAATAAAATCAGTTTTATTACAGAAATATTTGAGATGTAAGATTTATGAGGCCAAATGGAGAATGATCCAAGGGGTAGGAGACAGAGAAAAATGGTAACAGTTTTCCCTGAGACTAAAATAAGGATTTAACTGCAAGACACTAGGTTCATGGTCTTGATTTCTGAGATTTTCCTAGAGCTGTAGTTCCTTGAATCAACTACAATTATGGGATATGTACACATTTTATACCAATTCTGAGAGTTTACTGGATCCCATGAGGTTGCTCTAGAAGCACCTCTCCCCACTAAGTAATTTAAAAACATTTTTGTTTAAAATTACAAACCTGGGTACACAAGCATCATCTCCTCTGTACATTGTAGAGTGAATGTGTTCTCAAAAGCTTAACCAAAGAAGAAAGTCTAATTTCCCAGGCTACCATGAAACTAAGAGTTTTCTTAATTTCATTATATTAAAACCCCAATGAAAAAGGAAAAGCACGATAGACATTGGATTGTTTTGATCCCAGTAGAGACCTAAGGGTTTTCATGTCATCTGCAGAGCACCTTCTCAGCCTCTTGCTGTTTCTCTGCTATAAATATATTGTCAGTCACTGCTTCTGGTGAGGATGAGGATGTCCCCCCCCACCCCAATGACTTCACAAATGGCTTTCCCTTCGCACTTAATCCCTTTCCTGTCTGAGGGGCCAGCAGCAAATGGGAAATAATTCACTGTCTTGATAGGGTCAGGATAGTGTCTTCTTCCCATCCATCACCAGCTGGCAAACAGAGGTAGTGGTGGCATGGTGCATCCTGCCACAGCTCATCAAGGGGCAGGAGAGTGAGGTGCTGGATCCTTCTCTTTACTCCAGCCCTGGCTAAGATCCCTGTAATCTTCTGCTAAAAGGCTTCACTAGGCAGGACCTCCCATGCCCAAGAGAGTGAGATCCCAGAGAGCTAAAGGAATGAAGAGTTGCTTACCGGACTGGACTCTGACAGGAGCTGTGAGGGAAAAGAGTCAGAGAGATTACACAGGACCAAGGTCTTCACACTTTGTCAAAGGCTATAGCGCTCTGAGGATCCCCAAGCACTTCCCCCTCGTTTTCTTCCTGTTTCTTTTTCTGCTTTCCCTTTCACCTTCCCTCCTTCATTCCCTCTGTTTTTCTCTCCACCTTTCTTTAATCCCCCTTTTCCCACTCACAAATGACAGTCCTATGGAACCCAAGATTCATTTTTATATTCCTAGCACATTATAAGCAGCCCTTGGCCATTCCTAGAAGTTTGTGTTTTGCAGACAAATTTTCAAGAGCTTCATTTATTATCTCCTCTTTCATCTTCTTTATTTAAATATTTTTATTTTTTGAGATTAAAATATAATTACATCTTTTCCTCCCTTTCCTTTCCTTCCCCCAACTCCTCCCATATTTTCCCTGCTCTTTTTCAAATTTATGCCTTCTAATTGGTGTGTGTGTGTGTGTGTGTGTGTGTGTGTGTGTGTGTGTGTGTGTACACCTATACATAATACAACCTGCTCAGTCCATATAGTGTTATGGGATTTCAGGGATGACCAGTTTGAATTGGATAGCCAACTTGAGGGCTCTATCTTTAAACTGTCCAGACTATTTTTCTTAAGAGAAACCACCTACAAGGAGCACCCTGGATGTCAGGATCACAAAAGAAACACAGGGTCTGCTCATATTTCTTTGGCATCAGTTCTCTTTCCTCTGCATCCTAGACATACTACTGTGTGTGGGACTGTGTTAGAGGGTCTTATTTATAGGCACAGTCCATGGTGTACACTATGGTTAGCCAGACTTGAAGTCTATGCAATGTCTAAGTTTATGAAGATAAGAGTTCAGCCAAAAATGTTGACTCTTGAAGGAAGTAGAGTCTGAGCCTTGGGGTGTAAAACTTACATAAGCTGTGCATGACATTCACTGTAAAAGAAAATTCATTTGAAGCCCTTTCAATGAAAATCTATTGTTTTCCTAGATTTCCTAGAGATCAAACAGAAACAATAGAGACAAATCACCAGCCTTTAGTAAGGACACACACACACACACACACACACACACACACACACACACACACATTTTTTTTTTTTTTTTCTGGGAACCTTGCTTTGCTCAGTTCCCATTTGCATTATACTTGTCAGTACTGGATCAGAAGCAGAAACCCAGCTTTCCACACTCCAGAAGCTCAGGAAGGGTGTCTGGGAATGCCCAAGCAGAGGTGGCTCTACCCTGGCACAACCCAGGTCTTTTTGCAGCATCCTACTTACCCAGGGCCAGCAGCAGTGACCACAGCAGCATGAGGCTGGAGGCAAGCAGTTCCATTTGTGACAGGTGTAGCTCAAGTCCTTAGAGCAGACAAACTATGGATCTAGGGCAGAACCCTGGTTCAGCAGGGATCTTGCTAAAATAGAAAAAAGGAAGTAGCAAAACTGTCTGTTAATCAGTCCATACCCTAACCCAGTGGGTGCTGCAAAAGCAAATGTCCTTCCTCTTTATCAAGTTGCTTAGATATGTGCGCACTGGTGTGAAATGATTCTTAATGTGCCTTTCTTTTACAGATATGCTTTCCATTGCGTTTGACTTTACAGAGACTACTGAGTTCTGGGCCCACAGAGATTCAACTCAGGTTCTAGGTAGTTTTCAAAAATATATCTCCTTTATTACTCAAGAAGCAGTTCCTAATAAGTGGCACCATTGCCATCCCTGGATTGACTCCTCTCCAGAGGTTGATCCAGACTAGGCAGCAGAGAAAAGAAATGGTGAAAGGCTTTAGATGTTATTGTGGAGCAGTATGCATGCACTGGGGACCCAGAAAGACCCATTCCTGCTCATCACTTCTGTTCAGAAGATCTTTTAGCCAGATCCAGATAGGAATTAAGAAGCAGGATGAACACAGCATGGCCACTTGAGACTTTATCTCCAAACTGTAGTAGAGTGATCTGAAGGGCCTTGACTCACACAGGAAAGATTCTTCTTACACTCCAAATAGCACAGAAGGATATAGGTGCATGTGTGGGGTAGGTGTTGAAGCAGAGGGGGGTTGTATAACTAGCTGTGCTAGTTGGTTTCATGTCAATTGACACAAACTACAGTTGTCTGGGAAGAGGGACTCTTGACGGAGAAAATGCTTCCATAAGAGTTGCCTGTGGGCAAGTCAGCAGTACATTTTCTTGACTGATGATTAATGTGGATGGCAGAGATCACTGGGAGCATACTGCCCCTGGGCAGGTAGTACCGGATTATTTAAGAAAACAGACTGAGTAAGCCACGGGAACAAGCTAGTAAGCAGTATTCCTCCATGGTGTCTGCTTCTGTTCCGGCCTCCAGGTTCCTGTCCAGACTTCCCTTCATGATGGATTGTGACCTGGAACTGTAAGCTGAAATAAACTCTTTCCTTCCCAGGTTGCTTATGCTCGTGGAGTTGCATCACAGCAATAGAAACTCTAAGACACTAGATATATGCACAACGACATGGGTGGTTGCAGGAATTTTGAGATTAGCATAGACTGAATTTCCCCAGTGGAACATCCTACAGCTCTCTCTACAGTTTTAATGAAACTCACATGCATTGCTTCACTGTTTCAGTCTGGAGACGACTGCTAGGAGAATGGGAAGAATCATTAAAGTAATGGTAATTTTTCCTCTGTGTTGAATGATATTTAGAGCTTCAGGGAGCAGATCCAATTAATGTAAAATAACCCCCCTCTCAGGTCATCGGGACCTATGTTTGGAAAATAAGTAGTTTCTCCGGCAACACCTTAGGGGGCAGATTCTATGTGTTCAGCTTCCAGTGGTTCATCTCTTGTGCTGATATCCTGCATCCTACCAAATCTAAGTCACTGACACTGTCATAGAAAGATTTTTCAAAGAGTGGAATGGAGTGTTTTGTCTAAAGCAGTGGTTCTCAGCCTTCCTAATGCTGAGACCCTTTATAATACAGTTCCTCAAGTTGTGGTGATCCCCAGTTATTGCTACTTCATAACTGTAATTTTTCTACTGTAATGAATTGCAACATAAATAGCTATGTTTTCCAATGGTCTTAAGCGACCCTCATGAAAGGGTAATTGGACCTCTAAAGAGATTGTAACCCACAGGGTGGAAACTGATGCTCTAAGTCTAAGGCCGTGAAGTCAAGCTTAGAATATGTGACATACCTGGATAGTAGATGATAGCCACAGTGAACAACTTTTGGCCCTATGCTGGGCCTGGCCATTAGCTTGAGTGCACGGAGAGAGATTCAGGGCTACTCATAGACAGAAAAGGATCACTGTTCCAACACATCCTTGAACTGGTAGGAACTCCTGTCTTTCTCTAGGACTAAAGAGCCAGGAAAACACACATGTACAAGCACAAAGGCTCTGATTCAACTCTAAAAATAGATGGCATATAGAGTTATCAAGAAAATAGAAGTCGTTTTGAAATAGCAGTGTCCAAGCACCACTCCTAAGACTGGAGATACCCAAGGCTCTAAATTGTGAGTCTTTCTTCTAGTACCAGGTAGGGAAAATGGAAATATGCCATTGAGTTGTTCCTGCCAAGAAAAACCTAACCCCCATCCTCTCTCCTCTCTCATTCCTCTCCTCTTCTTTCCTCTCTTTCTGATAAAACTCAAGACCTTGAAGATCAATCAGTTCTACAACAGTCCCAATGTAATAGTCCTGTCAGCCAATCTAGTCTCAAAAAATAAAACTAAAACGAGGCCAGCTCAAGCAGGACAGAAGCTTCTCTCGACCGTGTTTGGCAGGACTATGGGTAGACATAGACACTAAGATTCCAGGAAATGGGCTCAGGAGATAGGTGGATAAAGCATTTATCGAAGAAGCATGAGGATCTGAGTTCGAACTCTAGCACCCACTTAAAATTCTGGGTGTGTCAATGTGAGCCTGTAATCCCAGCGCTGGTTTGGGGGAGTAGAGACAAGTGAGCCTCGAAAGCTTGTTGGCCTGCTTGTCTAATCAGTCAATAACCTCCAGCTTCAGTGAGAGATCCTATCATTTTTGTTTGTTTGTTTTGCTTTTTGAGACAGGTTTCTCTATAGTCTACAGGCTGTCCTGGAACTCGCTCTGTAGACCAGGCTGGCCTCAAACTCACAGAGATCCACCTGCCTCTGCCTTCTGAGTGCTGGGATTAAAGGTGTGCATCACCACCACCCAGCTGAGAGATCCTATCTTAATAACAACAACAACAATTAGTAATAATAATGATCATAATGTGGAGAGTAAGAAAGACATCTGATGGTCAAGTTCTGACGTACAAATACAAGTATTCATGCGTGTGCATACTGAGTTCTATAATAAGGCCCAAGTTAAGGGCTTTAAGAATTTACTAATAAGGCTCTCTCAGCCTCAAGCTCCATTTCTATTAGTTTGGAGTCCCATGAAAAGATTTTCAAAGTAAAGAAAGTGGCCAACTTTAAAGAGAAGATTCAGAACCCAAAGAGAGACTTCCGTGCCAGGATGTGGGTGTCTGTTAAGAGTAATAAAGGCTTCCCTCAAGGTAGACAAAAATTTTAAAAATTGTTTGATAATTTCACACATACAAACAAGGTGTTTTGATCAAATGCAAGCTCCCCTTTCCCTGCACTCCAATTCCTCCCCTATGCTGACCCCTACTAATTATTCCCTCCAAACTTAATGTGTTCCTTTTTATTTTTAAGCCCGTGGGTCCACTCAGTGCTGTGTATGTGTATGGGTGTAGGACCTCAGGGCTATAGATCCTTGATGAAAACAGATTCTCCCTCTCTCAAGGGCCATGAATTGCCAGTTGCTCCTGAGCTACAAGTGGGACTTCATGACTGCCTCCATGCTCCATGCGTGGATTTTATCTGGCATGATCTAGTAATGCTGTCACAACTTCTATACATTCATGTGTACAACTACCCTATTGTTAGAAATTGTTAGGAAGCACTACTCTTACACTCTTCTGAGATGATTCCTGAGCTGTAGGAGGAAGAAATATGTTGTAGATATCCCATTTAGGACTAAGCACTCCACAGTCTCTTACTCTCTATACATTGACCAGTTGTAGGTTGCAACACTAATTGTCATCTACTACTAAAAGAAACTTCCTTCTTAAGGGTTGAGAAATGTGCTAATCTATAGGCAGAATTATAAGTCAATGGGAGTTGGTTTAATACTATTTCATTAATGAGGTAATATTTATAGGTTCTCCCTTAGGGTCCATGACCTATATTACCACATATGTGGATAAAAGTTTTGCTTTGGGACTCACAAATGTTCAGACTGATGAACTGATATGGTACTAGAAACTTTATTACAACAATGAGTGTGTGTCAAGTACACATTTCATGGTTTTGAGGGACTTGTTTGGATATCAGAAACAGAAAGAAAAGGTGGAAAAACTAATGATCTCAGTTGTCTGGAACCAATATGGAACATTGTGGACTTTCTTTTGGACTCATGTATCCTAGAATTGGACATGAAACAAAGAAGCTCTAAGGCTGACATCTTCAAAGGCAGCCCCAAGAAAGGCTGATATTCTCTTAACCAGAGAACATGGGCACGCATGGCGCAGTAAGACACTGATTGAGAAGCAATAACCATGCTACTTTAGCTAACATCACAGGAGAAGTGGTGGCTTATGCCCACAGGGGAAGTAGAGGGGAAATCTAGGTCTCTCCCCGATGGGTCAATGGTTGTGCACTCTCTCTTAGAATGACATAGTCAGAGAAGGCTGGGGAGGAGCTTGTTGGCTGGTTAATTGGAGGCTGTGTGAGGAGCTGGGAGTTTCCATTTATGTAACGAAGTGTCTCCCCTCCCCGTTTTTGTTTCTTCAATTGCATGGCAACTTAATTTAGTGACTATTTATATTGTAGTAAAAATTCATAATACAACATTACAATTTTAACTAGTTTTAGTGATGGTTCTTTAGCATTGAGCACATAGATACATTCAACACCACCATCTATCTCCAGAATGTTTCATCTTCCCTAAATGAAACACTACCCATTAAACTTTAACTTTCCATGGCTCCTCCTCCCAGGCCCTATAAACCATCATTAGTAGAAATTTCCATACAAGTGTAATTGTACAGTGGTTGGTTTGTGTGCGTGCCTTCTTTATTTCTCTTACAATAATACCTTGAGAATTCATCTATATTGAAGGAAGTGTCACAATTCTCTTCCCTTTTAAGTCTGAACAATGTTCTGTTGTGTGTATATATGCACATATATGCCATGTTTTTGTCTGTTCACGTATTGCTAGATATATCAATTGCTTTTTCCCCTAATGAGTAGTTATAGTGACTACATTTCCATGTGATCATTGGTAATCTGTATC